AGCATGACATCCTTCTCCAGGGAATGGTCCCTTCTGACAACATGACCAAAGTAGGTGAGATGAAGTCTGGCCATTCTCACTTCCAAGGAGCATTTTGGCTGCTCCAGGAAAGATCTGTTAGTTCTTTCAGCAGTCCATGGTACTTTCAGCATTCTTCGCCTGCACCGCAACTCAAAAGCATTAATTCTTCTTCAGTCTTCTTTATTCATTGTCCAGCTCTCACATGCATATGAGGCGATTGAAAATATCATGGCTTGTGTCAGGTGCACCTTAGTCCTCAAGGAGACATCCTTGCTCTTCAGCACTTGAAAGAGGTCCCTTACAGCCAACTTGCCCAGTGCGGTACATTGTGTAATGTCCTGACTGCTTCTTGCATTGGAGTCAGTTGTAGAAACAAGCAATGTGAAGTCTCTGCCAACTTCAGTCTTTTCTCCATTTATCAGATGCTGCTTATAGGTCCAGTTGTGAGGGTTTTTGTTTTCTTTATATTGAGATGTAATCAACACTGCAGAGTGTATTCTTCAATCTTTGTCAGTAAGTGCCTCAAGTCATCCTCACTTTCAGCAAGTAAAGTTGTGTCGTCAGTGTATAGCAGGTTGTTAATGATTCTTCTTCCAATCTTGATGCCATGTTCTTTTTCATATAGTACAGCTTCTCAGATTATTCGCTTGGCGTACAGATTAAATAAGTATGGTGAAAGGATAAAACCCTGATACACTCCCTTCTTGATTTTAAACCATGCAGTGTCCCCTTGTTCTGTTCGAACAACAGCCTCCTGGTCAATACAGGTTCCTCATGAGTGCAATCAAGTATTCTGGAATTCCATTCTTCTCAATGTTATCGACAGTTTGTTATGATCTACACAATCAAGTGCCTTTGCATAGTCAACAAAACACAAGTAAACATCTTTCTGGAATTCTTTTCCTTGAGCCAAGATCCATCTGACAGCAGTTATGATATACCTTTTCCATGCCTCTTCTAAATCCAGCTTACACCTCTGGAAGTTCTCTGTCAATATACTGCTGCAACCGTTTTTGAATTATCTTCAGTAACATCTTACTTGTTTGCGATATTAATGATATTGTTTGATAATTTCCACATTCTGTGGGATCACCTTTCTTTGGAATAGGTACAAATATGAATCTCTTCCAGTCAATCGGCCAGGTAGCTGTTTTCGAAATCTCTTGGCATAACCAAGTGAGTGCCTTTCAGTAGGGCATCCATTTGTTGAAACATCTCAATGGGTAATCCGTCAATTCCTGGAGCCTTGTTCTTAGCCAATTCCTTCAGTGCAACTTCGACTTCTTCCTTCAGTACCATTGGTTCTTGATCATATGGCACCTCCTGAAATGGATGAAGATCAACCAATTCTTTTTGGAATAGTGACTCTTTGTATTCCTTCCATCTTCTTTTGATGTTTCCTGCATAATTCAATATTTTGCCCATAGAATCTCTCAGTACTGCAACTTGAGGCTTAAATTTTTT